TAAGTATTAAAAAAAAAAAAAAATTGTCAAACAAATTAAAGGAAAAGTATGGTGTAAAACAATTTTTTATAACATGAATAAAATGAGTCATTTTATTAAGAAAAAAAAAAATTTTCAATTCAATACTATACATAGTGAAATAGAATATAAGAGTAACGAGACCCGGCGAAGGCGGGCTTATAGATTCAGGTTCCGGTTTGATTTTATCGACAGTCTATCGAAGTTGGTGATTTTATAAATATAAGTTTGGGAAGAATTAAAAAAATTCTTTTTAAAATAGTAAATTTTCTTAATTAGTATTTAAAATTAGTAAAATTGTACATATAACTACTTCCTGCTTTAAAAGTGGTAAATTTATTGCATGAGTGGTGTCTGTCGAACTTGAAAAGATTGAGCAAACAAATTATTATGTATTTAGCTGATTTTCTGAGCCAAGTAGAATGAAATGACAAGGGTAAGGAATTACTTGGAATATACATATATTAATTCCAAAAGAATTATTATACAACTGACTATGATTTTCATAAAAATAGTTTGATTTGTATGGTAAAGACCAATTGCATAAATTTTGAATTGTAAATTGTAAATAAGAAAATAATCAAAAAATTACTCTTTTGAAAAGATGAAATCGTCAAAATCATTGATTTTAAATACTAATTCAAAAAATTTACTACTTTAAAAATACTATTTTCAGGTGATCACTCCGTCGACTCTGAACGCACACTCTTGATTCTTGAGTGATACAGCAGTATACCAGGATTTAACACCACCACAAATATCACAGCTTATGCCAGTCACCACTTTCACTGGAATCAAACCTGTAAAATTATACACTACTGAGTCATGCATAAAATTTTTTATAAGTATATGATTTACATGGACCTTATGAAAACTCGAAACTGTCACAACATTTGTAGAAGTTGATGTCGATAGCAGGAATCTTCAGCGATGCTTTCATTGACCAAGTTGAGGCAGTTACAGTAAAAAGACAAAAATCATATTTTTATAACCTAAAAGTATAATACTTGTTTTAAAAGTAAACAAAAAAAGTATAACAATGTATATTGGTAAAAGTTTCAAAAAAACTTACTTGTCGAGGAGCAAGTGAAACTTGAAATAAAACAAAGGTGACAAGTGCTCTTAAGTTTCACTTTTGAAAATGATGATTGAATTATATCTGCTTTAAATTAAAATTTCACCTTGCTTTTCATGATTTATAAACAAAGGAAAACATAAACAAAGCAGTTACACTGGTTAAATAATCATCATATTTCAAAATAATACACATTTACTTGCTTATTCAATTTCACATGTCAACTTGATTATGATGTAATAAAAGAATCCACAGCATTACTTTTCATTTGTTTTTTTTTGCAACTCTCTTTGAATACTTTTTTTCCAAT